ATCACTTGGTTGCACTTGGTTGGTAGCACTTCTGTGAACACAGTGATGTGATGCTAAGTCATGGTCTGGATTCACTCTTATGGGTATTGAAACCGTCTCCAGCCATGGTCGTGTTTTGAGTTTTGACCGTCACACATCACGATGGTCATTGCCCTGATGGTTAAGCTGTCCACACCGCTGATCCCTGGACTCCAAGTGCCAGATCCCACGGGGCTCATGCCATCCCTAAGGCCCTGATCCCTTGATCCTTGCTGTTCTCGAGACTTTGCTTCTCAGGTTCTCTTCCGGCCTCGGTGAGGATGCCTGGGGCAGCAAGAAGCCCCGGGCTGAGAGTTTCTGAAGCTCCAGCGTTTGAGCTTCTTGGGGCTCCAGAACCTTGATGTGTAGGACAGTGTAGAATTCTGGGGGTCCTGCATTTCCCAGCAGGGGTGGTTTTGGGCTTAGGTCGATTGTGCCGTCCAGAGCTGTTGGGCTGAATGGTGTCACAGAGGAGAACGTTACTAGTAGTTGGGAATCGGCGCGGAAGGTTCGCTCTGAACTTTCATGTCTTGAGCCCTCCAAGGCTTTTGTTTTTGGCCTTCGGCCCCAAAACCACAGAGGGCGAGGCTTTGTTGTTTCGAAGGTAGCAGAGCAGCAACGATGGGCCTGGTAGCCTTGACAGTAGCATTCGTCAAACCTGTTTCGAGCGAGTGGAAAGGCATTCAGTGAATCGTCATACAACCCGCAGCAACAGCTGCTAGGATCCAGTATGTTCAGTGGTAAGCAGGCAACGATGGATACCAGTAGTGCTAGCAGTATCAGTACGAAATGAATGGAGGTGCAACCAAACTATGCACCTAAGTCAGTTGGATAGGACCCATGATAAGACTGAGAGCTTGCTTCAGACTGATGCTGTACTGACCGTAGCCAGCCGTCATTGAGGACAACAGAAAATCTCATCAGTCGTGATAACGAGTTGAAGAACCGTGTTGATCGTGGCAACAACAAACCTCATCAGAGCAGCAGGTAGCAGGTCTACCTTGGTATATCAGGTTTACAGGCTAGGTATATGGACCAAGCTGCCAGCAGGGCTGAAACAACACCCCGATGGTTTAGGGCCCACCTCAGACCCAACTGCAAACCCCCCAAGAAAGCGAAGCTGTTCCCAGGGCCGGTGACGTCGGCTGGAAGCCCCCTTTCTTCTCCGCTGGTGACGACGAGACAAAGAAGAGGAGCTAAAGAGGGTTCATGTTGGGGAGTGAGGGGCGGTTTTGTGCTTGGTCCATGAGTTGGTTTTGAAGGTTGGCTGCTGAGTCTTGGACTGTTTCAGGTCTGCCGGCTTCGGGATTCCAAAGTAACCAAAGTAGGAATTCTGCACCGCAAAGGTTAGGAGCTGACTGCTGAGACGATGACTGTGACTACGTACTTTTCCTGGATGTTGCTGACCGTCTGGAGTCTTTCAGGAGGCTCGCGGCAGAGCTTGCCAACGGACGCCTGGCCATGATGGCCATCGTCGGCATGCTTCCGAGCTGTGTTGAGCTTCGTGTTCTCCCTGCTTTAAAGCTCGGATGGCTGTCAGGGTTTCTGTCATGCCACAACAGGTGGATGGGAGGCTTTCAGATTTCACACGCTTGACGGGGAGTGTGCCACGAAGCCAGTGTTCCCGACAGTCCTGTCCTCCTCCGCCTCCTCCTCCGCCTCCTTTCAGAGCTAATTCCCATCCTCATGCTGGTCGCCGTATGCCGTCATCATCGT